TACACATACACATACACATACACATACACATACACATACACATACACATACTCTTATAGGTCTTTTTTGCTTGTTTTTTTCTTGTGACTATGCGAGCACCTTTAAGCAGTGCTAAACATTCAGTGACTGGGTGTTTGGAGTGCCTGTAGCACTGTTAGGGGGGCCGCTTAGTTCGTGATGTTTGTGATACATATGGTCTACGAGTGATGATAGACGTCCGTCAGCGGCTTCCTGGCTCAGTAGGTGGTGGGAACCAACAGTCTGCGGGGTTCTACTTGTGGTGTGAGTAGGTGATGAACTGCTTTGGTCCATGCTGGATGTGTGGACCGCCCTGTCTGTGCTCCTCCACTGCCTCGCTGCCCATTCCGTGGCCCATGTCTTTCCTTGAAGCTGCTGTGGTTGTGGTGCAGTTTGGCTGATTTGTGAGCGCTGCCTTGTACCTCGCTGCTCTGCTGCGTAGATCCCCATCCACGTGCCTTGCCTTGTCTTTCTTCTGAGGTGTACCTGTCTGCCTTGCAGTTTGGCTGCTTTGCCAACGCTGCCTTGTGCCTCGCTGTGTCGTTGCTTTACTGCTTGCATTCCAGTCCGTCCGCAATCATCAGGGGTCAAAGAGCTCATGGCCCAAAGCATCAATAGGGGGATTCCACAGATTGTCGAGAGTTCAGCCTCCTTATGAATCGGTGCAAGTCTGACGAAGACTATCATCCTCAGTTTTCTATCCCCCCCCGCCCCCCCCCTTCTCCCTTCCCCCTTTTTCGCTTTCAGTACTTGTACTTTTCTTGTCTGCTGCTTGCTATCCTTCCCTGCCTTGTGTGCTTATGTATTGTCTGCCCTCCCTCCTCCCCTGTGCCCTCCAGCCTATATGTTGCCTCACTGCTTTTGCCTTGCTGCGCTTTGCCTGCCTGTTTGACAGCCTCACTGACTTTACTTGCTGGTTGCTTGGCCGCTTTCTTGTCATAGTTCAGTAACGCAGAATAGGTAGCATGAGCATGAAATTTGTATATCCAGTAAACGGTATATGATTGGTTACAGGCTTATTGGCAGACCTGGTGTACCACCGTAATTATGGTGGAGTGCATAGCGGATGAGCTATGGGATATACACATACACACAGACACACATACACACATACACACATACACACATACACACATACACACATACACACATAGCATTGACACATAGACACATAGCATACACAGTGCATACACATACATACATACATACATACATACATACATACATACATACATACATACATACATACGTGTACATGCATGCATGAATACACAATCACTGGCCCGTATGCTGAGCATAGCTATGCGTCGTTGCCCGCTCAGATGATTTCTGTTGAGGTGTATTTGCCATGTCATGGAAGTCAGTCTGGCGTTCAGTCGGATCCCATCAAACAAAGCCATGTTCTGGATCATGTGTTAAGGTATTTAATCCACTGTTCAGCCGAATAATCAGCAGCTCAAGGCCTCACCTTCTGCTGGCTAGTACATTCACACACACACACACAC